GCGTGTGCAGACTTGTCTCAAATTGAAAATCTCACTCCAGCCAGCTGACCAGAGTTGGCAATCCTGCAGATGTTTTCAGGTCCTCATGGTCGTCCACTCTACTGCCTGTCTGCATGAGGTTTGTCTAATTACACTACAGCTTCCGGCTAAACTAGCGAGCCGGCCTGAGAATGGCTTCTGTCACTCTCTAAATCAGAAACACAGCTCTCTGATGTTCCTTCTCCCTGTGCTGTTTTTTCACTTTGGCCCCTGCCCGCGTCTCCTCCAGCTGTTCTCCACCTCGTCAGGGGAAACAGTCACTGATTTTATCAGCTCTAGAGGCAGCTCCCCTCACCTCCCAACGAACGCCATCTAATTCCAGGCATGACCAGATGGAGCATAGTTACATGTACAAAGCTTCAGATGAGACAGGGTCCGAACTCTGATTTTTTGGTCTGGGTTTGCTAACACAGGTGTCCCACGCACCAATGGCAATGGATCAGGGGGCTAAATATGCCCCCAGGCCCAACCTTGAGTAATACCGCTGCCAAGGTGACCGGGCACAGGGGGCACATTTCCTGCCACGCCCAGCCCCTCTCGTCCTGTCCACAGTACCGACATCCCAGCAGAGGGGAAACAGTGGGGAGCCGGACTTCCAACCCAGCTGTGCGGGAAATGGTCCCGTCCAGCACTGGAACCCGTAAAAGAGACCCATGAGGAGGTCTTACTGGGAAGGTTTCAACAACCCCCAAGGAAAGCACCACCCCCCCGCCCCCCCCTTCCCGAGGGGAGCTAGGCGTTTACTGGCCCAGCAGTGAGGATGGGCTGTGTCTGCGGCTGCAGCCTAGACGGCCTCACTAAACCACAGCCACAGAATGAAAATCAAGATGGACCATCACCAATGCTTGGATGGGAGCTCCTACTGAAAAAGCTGCACTTTATTTCATTTCTGACACACTGGCCTCGCCGTCCCTTCCACCGAGGGAATTGGCCCAAGGAAGAGAATTCAAACGTGGACGTAAATTGGATTCGGAAAGATCGGGGGAGTTTTCTGCGGGAGGAGACATGTAGGCTGAAGGTGCCAGTTCCCAGCCCCCTAAATCAATTTGGCTCCCCGTGTGGTTTTTCAATCCATTCTGGCTTTAAAAGTCTACCGGACCTTTAAAAGCCTACCGGCCCTTTAAAAGCCATCGCTTGAGTCTGCAGTGACATTGCGTGGGGAGCTCAAACCGCAAGCATCTGGGCGTCTGACCCTCAGCCTGCCACTTGCCCTCACATCCTTCTCCTTCAGTTCAAGCTCTCGCCACCCATCGTGCTCACGTCCTGCTCCAAACTGGAATGATCACTCTGCGGATTACAAGGTCATGTGTCAAAAGCATTAGAATGGACGTTCAGTGGTAGCTTTCCCCAGTAGCCCCAACAGCCCGTAATCACGGGTCATGCCTCATGCCACCATTCTGGAAACCATCTTTCATGATCTGGCACCTGCCTAAACCCAGTACCTTCCAGTCCCCAGGGAACCTGAGATGGTCTACGGTTTTGCTCCCTTGCAGCTCTCTACCGGACAGAGCAAACACATGTTCTGTCTGGGGATCCCCAAGGATTGGTTTGAGAAATACTGCTCTAGAAAATGGGCTCTTACCCATAATCTGCCCACTGAAAGTAATTCTCTGGCCTTCTGTTGCTGGCATTTGTGGTGATGGTAGCAGCATCCTCCAGCATTTTTATAGCCAGTCTTTCCATTTAAAGAGCCCCTCCACCTGGAGAAATCATCAAAATCTCTACAAACACTGAAACCACAATGTGGGAGGGGGGGCCGGGTTTTTCACATACTGGCGAACGGCTCAAAGAGGCAGACCAGTAATTCAGAGACTTCTCTTGCAGCCTGGGGTAGCCTAGACATCTCCAAGGAAGACTCCAGCAGACCCTATTAATGGCCGCCAGCCGTGAAGAACTGAACCAGCAGGCTACAAACCGCATTCCCGACATGGAGAAAAAAAGCAGAATCGCCTGGCCGGACAGACAGAAACACGGAACTGACATGCACTGAAACCCGAGGTGCTGACAGACTGGCTCACAATCACAGGCATCATGTTTTTATTTTCCCTTATCATCAGCTGCTGACATCACGCAAACTGAGATTCCTCAGTGGGCCAATGAGAGGGTCCACAAAGGCTGTCTGAACCAATCAGATTCTGGAGCTGAAGGCTAGCTGTCCACGAAGACCTGCTGCCCCTCCAGGCACAAGACCCAGCCATTCATAAACGACAACGACCCCACCCACCATCACAGAGACCTCCCCAACCACATGGTATTCAGGAACGCCCTATGAGAAGGGGGAGGGGCCCAAATCTGCTTCCCAGACAGAGACAGATCTCACACCTCTCCTCAGACAGTGAGACCGAACTGGGACAAGTTGGATCAGGGTTGAACTTAGGGCTACAGTCTGCAGCGACGCTTCTACGCGTCTCCTCCTGGCACGCAAAGGGACGGGGGTAAAACCAGCAGGACATCATAACCGGAGCAGGGCGGGGGTCTGCTCACTTGTTAATTTGTGCTTGGCACCGGCCTGACGTTTCTCGCTGACCTCACATCGCTCCGCTGGTTCTGGCGGCACGCAGCCTGACGGCCGATATTCGAGACAGAGGGCCGCGTCCGCACCTCCCCAAGCCAAGATCCCCGCCGCTCCCCGGCCTGCCCCTAACCTCGCCCCAAGTCTCCACCCACAGCTCAGCCTCGTTATTATAATTACCACTATTATCTGCTTTGCGGGAGCTCAGCTGTTAGCCCTCGATGTTGCTTTCACATCATTATCCATTCAGAGCCCCCATGTCTACAGCCCAACACTAACTCCACCGCAGGGACTGGATCTCGCAACCTCCTGGAAAAAGTCCAGCTCCATAAACAGCAGACCAGCTGCTCTTCACTCTCATACCCTCAGCTGAACCCCAACCCTCCACAATGTAATACCACATCCTAGCCTGAATACCTGCTGGTATATTGTGCCAATTCCACATGCCTCATACCTCTATACAGGTCCACATGTCTGTCATTATAACTTTATATTATCACAGCCCTCTGGAGAGCTGCCAGACACGTCCTTCACCAACGGACGTCACTACGAGGATGGAGATCCTAAATGCCACCGTTTATCAGCATGATTCACTGATTTATTAAACAGTCTAGGGGAGCAGGTGAGGTTATGACTCATTAATGCAGATGTGCCTCCTCATTGGTTGATCTTAGCTGGTCCTTCCGGAAGACGGTTCCCATGAAGACCCTTATACCATCACAGTGCCTCTGTCTGCCATCCGACTCATCAGGCTCCACTCGAAGTCCCCGCACAAAAACACACTGAAAAACACATGTGTTGGGATGTCGGCATGCGCTTCAGATTGAGCCAAATGGGTGTGAGGTGGGAGCTCATCCTCTGAATAACACCACCTGTTGCTCTGAGCCGGTGGCTCATGGTAGAGGCAGGCATGACTCAGCGCATGTGATTCAGCATGCATGACTCAGCATGTGTGACTCAGCGCACAGGACCAGCTTCAGCAGGCCTGACTCAGCACGTGTGACTCAGCAGACGTGACTTGTGGCAGGCTCTTCCATATCCTGCACTCATGACTCGGGCCGCAGGATTGCCACTACATCTGCGTCGAAGGCAGCACGTGTGCTGCGACTGGCGACCCCCCCCCCCCAATCCTAGCCGCGTCTGAAACCGCAACTTTGAAATAATGAATATCAAGAGAGCGCAGTAAATACTAGAGGCGTGAATGTTTCCCCGACATTTTGTTTGCAGATATTTTTAGCCAGTAAAATCTGTGGGCACGTCCTGAAAGATGTCAGCTGTAGGGGTGAGAGACCACCTGCTACCAGGGTGGAATAAATCTGTCCACTCGCTTATCTTATATGGGGGTCACAGGGGTGAAGGGGGGGGGGTGCTATCCGAGGAACACGGTGGAACACGGTGGACAGGATGTCAGCTCATCACAGGACACACCTACACACACTACAGGCAAATAGTCATGTAATTGGACTGCGAGAGGAAACCGGAGAATGTAGAGGAAACCCGAATGCCACCGGGAGGCCAGACGCAGCCACACAGTGGGGGGGTGGGACTACAAGCCCCAGCTCTGGGGGTGTGAGCCACCATGCTGCCCATGTATGAATCCACACACTCTCACAGATAGTTTGGTGCCTCAAAGATATGTGAGCCGAAACGTGTGACCCAATGCCCAAGCCAGGCCACTCTGCACACTTCAATAAGCCGGTGACAAGCGCTTAACAAACCCTTCATCAGGGCCTGAGTTAGCGCCGAGGCTCACTGGGTACCATGGCAACCGCCAGGACCGGACCTGAGGTCGTCTATGGCCGAGCCCCCAAGGTCATATTCACATATCCCAAAAAACGCAACGCAATTCTGTACCATTACTTCTCTCAGTAAAAGCGGAAATTAATGTACTGTAGGAAGCCCCCCCCCCCCCGTCACGGTGGTCGTCAATTCAGCAGTGCCAAGAATGTCACCGCACAGAAATAACATTTTTACAACTGGACGCCAAAGCAAATAAAATAACAACATGAATCACATTTTTCCTTTCAGAATGGGGCGTAAGATTGATCTTTCGTTACTATCAAATGCGTTCCAGGAGCAAGTCTTGGTAAACGGACGGTTCCTTCACCTACCTATCGGCTCGTCGTTCATTGGGGTGAACAAGGTTTTAATATGTCCCAATGACGGCCAGCTTATCAGAATGAGATCAGAAACAAAGCCATTGCATGTTTGAATCAGGGGTGCATCAGCATGAGGTGCAAGATGTTTGTTTTCATTTGTCACAGCTGTCAAGACCATCTTTGGGACCCAAGACCACTGATTTTTATGGTCTATTAGAGATCTGCAGGCGCTGAACACATTTCATTAAAGGGTTATGTTTTGGGCACAGTGGGGGGTGAATGTCAAGGCAGAGAGGAGGAAGAGAACTGACAGAACGGCAGCAGGAAGACGGGGGTGATGATGGACTCACGCAGTGGGGGGAGGCTGCTTGGTGGCCGGCGTCTTGGAGCCGCTGCCGCTGTTGGCAGCGTGACGTCGGGGCGACTGGGCCGCAGCGCCAGGCTGGATGGGCCGCAGGGTGCGGGAGTTTCCGGAGCGGACGTAGACCTGCTCAGGAGCCACCTCCTCACAGCGGCGCCCCTGGAAGCCGGAGCGGCACACACAGGTGTGGGGGCGGCTGCAGGAGCCCCGGTTCTGACAGGGGGGCTGGCAGTCCGCTGTGGGCGGGGGCAGAGGGGAGGAGAGAGGGATGGTGAGTCATACAGGCAGAAATGGGACACACCTAGGAGGACCCGGCCCTCAGAGCAAGTGCGGTGTGCATTGCTGGGCCTGACACTAGGCGCCGAAAAGAATCAGAAACATGGGCTCTAGTCCATAAATATGAGCCTTCAGGTGAAGCACTCCAATGCTTTTGAGCAAATAGGGCTCCTGTTTGCGCGGTGCTGGAGACCGGGGGAGCGCGGTGCTGGAGACCGGGGGAGCGAGGTGCTGGAGACCGGGGGGAGCGCGGTGCTGGAGACCGGGGGGAGCGCGGTGCTGGAGACCGGGGGGAGTGTTCACGTTACAGCGTCACAGCTACAGTTACGGCTGGGGAACGCTGGCACTAACCTGCCCAAAGCTCCTAACAGAAAAAGAAACAATTAAAACGCTCGACTGACAGACTGTCAGGGGGAAGCAGGATTCCAGAAGGGAATTCCAGGGCTGTTTCACGCTTTGAAAATGGAATGATATGCGATTACTCTCCCCAAAGCAAAGAGCCTTAAAACGAGGGGTTTTATTTTCCTTGTCGGGTAGGAAAGACGGATGTCTGAAGCCTGTTTATCGATTGTCTCCGCAGACGCCGAGGGCCGAGGGCCGAGGTAACGGGCACGGTTGGGCTCAGCTGCCAAAAGATATTTACTGGTCGGCCCCCCAGCCCCTTGGCCCCCCAGGGGACACACACGTGACTATGAAAATAAACGGGTTCTCCTCACCGCAGTACACACGACACTCCTGAACGACGAGAATTTATGACGGTGTCCAGTCATAAGATCTTGGGTGGCTAAAGAAAACACAGCAATGGGCAGCTTCCCCCCCTCCAATGACCCCCCCCCCCACCAGCCACACCAAAGAGAAAGTTTGAGTTTTTAGCAACAAAAAAAAAACAGCAAGACTAGACGCATCATAAAACACCGACGAAAAAAACATAATCTGGCCCGCGACACTGGGCCCAGTGATTAAGGGCCTCAGCAAACTTAGAGGGAGGACATTACAGCTAATTATGTAAGATAATAATGAAGAGAGCAACAAGCCAGGGGCTAAAATAACAGCCTGTGACAGCATTCCTAAGAGTTACGGCGGGATACATGTTATTATTATTATTATGTTTTATTTATTTATTTTTTTAAAAGAACTAATTTGTTTCAAAAATTCGTTTTAACTGCTTTCAGGAAAATAAGCCCCCTGATGGATAGAACCCAGGGATTCGTGCTCATGAACGCATATAAGGCAGAGTGTGATGCGAGTTTTCCAGCCCGCATTAAAATAAGAGGCGGTCAAGCTCTGTTTGGCTACGAGTTAAATATGTCATCTGCTAACTAGGTTTATATACGGGCTGGTGCCACAGGCTGGCTCAGAGTCAGTGCTTAAGTGTTATGGTTTGGGGGGTGGGTGTAGAAGGGGCCTACTGAGAGCAAGGTCGAGCCTGTACACATCACCTGTGTGTGACACGCAAAACAGTAATTGGGGCTGTCAACCAGTGTTGGCGCCAGAACAAATGTGACAGCCAGGGACAATCTGACTGAGGGCACCAGAGTCGACTAGGGGGGGTGTCTGTTGGGCATCATTGGGTAATTCATTTGGGAGGGGCACAGCCAGTCATTTCGGCGGCCAAAACAGCTCTTAACAACTGCTGAATTTTCTGTTACCCCAACCTCCCCCCCCCCCCACAGATTCCAACGGGAGACTGGCATCAGCTGACAAGGGGGGTTACTGCAGTGTCACTGGCTCTTGGCTGGGTCCCGGCCCTCCGTCAGTCCCACACAGTAATTGCTGCCCTGCCAGTTTGTCTTACACTTCATTAAAATAATTGCCTCACATTCTGTCCATTTGACAAATATTCGGTTTAATTATTGCACTGGGGAATCGTGGAAAAAAGAGAAGAAAACATTAGAGAATGGGAAGCGGTCAACGCATGCATCCAACGTCAATCGCAATTACACAGCGAGTAAAGAAAACGAAGGAGAACTTCAAGTACAAGGAGAGAATAAATAGGCCGAAGCAGACTAGCACAGGGGTCGTGACAGGAGAGGCATCTCTCACGGGGGCCAGACCCGCGTTTTCACTGGCACTGCAGCCAGAACAAGAGCACTGGGGAAGGTTCCGGCAGGCCCAACCGGGCCAAGAAGAAAAGCACAGAAAGCAGAATGGAATCCGGCCCGTCGCCCTTATCTCTGGGGTCGTGCCGGAATGTTGTATGAGGACATGGGGAGCCATCTTGGTTTTGACAGTTTTTTTTTTTTGAAGGGGGGGAGGAAATTGAGGGGAAATGGGGGGGCAGCGTCAAGGTAACAGCCCCAAACAAGTCCGTCACAGCTGAGCCCCACATTGTAAGCTAAGCTTGTCAAGTGCTTTTAACGAAACCCGGAGGACATCGCCAATCTGCTTAAGGCCATAAGATCTGGCACACTCCATAATCCATCCTTCGAAAAAACCTTACAGGAACAGCGATTTGCAAGCCGTCACCATCGCAGAAGCGTTCCAGCCCGTAGCCCCAGCCAGCCTGTCTTTTCCAAAATAGCACAACGCGGTCCGCTGGCGACGAATGAACTGGTATAATTTATGGACCCCAATAGGAGCAGCTGGCTTGTAAACCCAAGGGGCGACCCTGAGATGGAATTGCAGAGCAGAGCGGAGCGCATCATGGAGCTCCAACGGCGAGACCTACAACCAAAGAAGGTGGAGCAGAGGAGGTTAGACAAACCATTCATAGGGGCGAGACTGAAATAGCTAAATAAATAACAAGGGGTACATTCTGCTGGCTGCTGTCGCTTTGCTGCTGCAACTGTACTCACAGCACCGGCTGCCTCCAAAGAAAGGTCCTGAAAGGCTTACGGCATTTTCATTTTGTTCCGAGAGTACATTCCTCCATCTTAATCCAGTTAAGGACACTGTCTCTTAGGAGGATGTATCAGACAAAGGGCAGAAATTTTCTTTAAATGCTAAAATATGAATTATGCAGTAACATAATCCCTCAGCATGCCAGATAAAGCAGCTTAAGGGCTGTGAGCTTACTTAACTAGGCTGCTGCAGCGAAGGCGTCCAGTGTAACTGGCTGTCCTTCCAGCAAAGCCCGCGTCTGCCATAAAAAACCATAGCAGGCTGATCTTGGCTTCCCTGGTGACCATCCTGGCGGTATTTTGGCGGAAACTCTGTGTTTATTTACAGCCCGTTATAAAATCTGAGCTAGACTCATGACCAAACAAGACCTTTGTCATTGGGAGCAATTATTTTTCATGCCTCACTTGATGTGCTGTAAAAAGGAGCAGGGCAGCAAAATATCTGACCAGGGACAGGGACAACAGCTAAATACCCCCCCCCCCACTCACCACCCAGCTCCCCACACTGCATAACTGATGGTAAGAAGTCTACAGAATACGCCAGTGTGTTTTCACAGCCCACAGCTATTTCACACCGTAGCAAATGTATCTGTGTGTGTGTGTGTGTGTGTGTGTATAGGGGGGTGTCATTTTTCAGCCGACTGACATAGGATTCCCCATATACAGTTAATTTAACATTTCCACCACAGATTTTGGCAAAATACCTCATGTCATTAAACTCAGACTGAGGTCATCGTGAAACTGACCACAATAATATTCGCCTTTCAAAGACCTGTTTTTTTTATTGTGCCAGTCAACTCTGCAATATTACAATATTATAATATCCTCCAGACATTGTCGCCCCCCCCCCTCCACCACCACCTCCATCCCGCGACACCACCGCTTCTGGCTATTCAGTAATTCAACCCATCAAACTTTTACAATCCATCCATTCAACCCATCATGAAATATTTGAGATTTCTGGAACACATATAAAAATTCCTGTTTCCTTATAAAGGTCAGCATTGCTGCCTGCTGCTCACTTGGTTAAAAAAAAAAAACAGACGATAAGATGCCTTCTGGGGAAATTCACTGTAATCGAATTATCACACAACATCAGACATCAGAAAGGGGGTCTGACCATTTATTATTAATTTTAGCTCCCGTATATCAATGTCAACTTTTGGCAACCATGTAGATAGCATTCCTGCAGAACTTTGCCTTCACTCCAGGTCTTGAGGCTTCCCAATGGCATGATCATCTTTATGATGCCTGAATCCATCCACGTTTCTTCTAGTCATCTTCTTCTTGTACTTTCAGCTTTTCCAGACATTTTTACAGGGCACTGGGTCTTCATAATATGCCCCAAATAAACTTTGTCAAGTAAAATTTCAGGTTAATACATTGTCCTCCAAAAAAAGTGAAACTTGAACTTTGAGCATGACTCGATGGTTAATCATAACCAATATGGCAGCAAAACACTGACTAATAGGTACAGGTATTTCCTTCTGCGGTAGGTCTGGCCGGATCAGTGTCGTTTTCATGTTATTCCTGAATTTCCGATGCAATATTGTTTTTCCATCTTGTACTGCAGTTTACATGTCAAGTCACGCAACCAGTCCATACCTAAGTGTGGAAAGATTTTGAGCTGCCTGCCCACCCGTGACATGGACTACCTCCAGCTTAGTTTCACTCTCATGTGCACCAGGGCCTCCAGTTAGGTCCATACGATTTTCGAGGGCTGAATAATGACAGTAATGACCTACGCCTGTGGACCCGAGGAGAATACATGCGATGTACACCTGAACTAACAGTTACTTGCTCAGCGGATGCATTTATTAGTGATGTAGTCAAGATCATCTAAACAGAGACCAAGTCATTACCAAGTCCACAGTGTATCGAGACCAAGATAAGACCAAAACCAAGGCAGGGCGAGACCAAGACAAGACCAAGACAGGACTAAACCAAGTCAAGATCAGAAACAGATTAATGTTTGAGTCTACATAACATAACACACTATAAATTGCAGAACATGGGCACCATTTTGGGGCTAGGCAGCATGGCATAAAATTTCTGTTACAGTATTATTTGAACCATGGACATTTTTTCTTAAAATTTCAAGGCAAATGCTCCTGTAGAAA